AAAAATTCAAAAGGGCTGTAACTTTTGAAATAGTAGCCCAATCTTGGAACTGTTTGAAATTATGGATTCTACAGGCCACATTCTATAAGAAAAAAATTTTTCCGGGTCGATCTGAGACAATTTTTTTTCGGGGCTCAAAAAAAGGCAGTGTATAACCTTCCTTTTGTACCAAAAATCGACTACACCAAAATTTCTCGGGAAAACACTTTTTCTTATTAATTTGGGTGCGTAGAATCCAAATCAATTCGTACTTTTTTCGATCAGACTTCTCTTCTCAATCAAAAGTTATAGACTAGAAACCAATTTCGAAAGAAAATTCAAAGGGCTGTAACTTTTGAACTAGTAGCCCAATCTTGGAACTGTTTGAAATTATGGATTCTACAGGCCACATTCTATAAGAAAATTTTTTTCCGGGTCGATCTGAGACAATTTTCATTTCGGGGCTCAAAAAAAGGCAGTGTTATAACCTTCATTTTTTACCAAAAATCTACTGCACCAAAGTTTCTCGGAAAAACACTTTTTCTTATTAATTTTGGCGCGTAGAATCCAAAAGAATTCGTACTTTTTCGATCAGACTTCTCAATCAAAAGTTATAGACTAGAAACCAATTTCGAAAGAAAATTCAAAGGGCTGTAACTTTTGAACCAGTAGCCCAATCTTGGAACTGTTTGAAATTATGGATTCTACAGGCCACATTCTATAAGAAAATTTTTTTCCGGGTCGATCTGAGACAATTTTCTTTTCGGAGCTCAAAAAAAGACAGTGTATAACCTTCCTTTTTTACCAAAAATCGACTGCACCAAAATTTCTCGGGAAAACACTTTTTCTTATTAATTTTGGTGCGTAGAATCCAAAACAATTCGTACTTTTTCGATCAGACTTTTCAATCAAAAGTTATAGACTAGAAACCAATTTCGAAAAAAAATTCAAAGGGCTGTAACTTTTGAACTAGTAGCCGAATCTTGGAACTGTTTGAAATTATGGATTCTACAGGCCACATTCTATAAGAAAATTTTTTTCCGGGTCGATCTGAGACAATTTTTTTTTCGGAGCTCAAAAAAAGGCAGTGTATAACCTTCCTTTTTTACCAAAAATCGACTGCACCAAAATTTCTCGGGAAAACACTTTTTCTTATTAATTTGGGCGCGTAGAATCCAAATCAATTCGTACTTTTTCGATCAGACTTCTCAATCAAAAGTTATAGACTAGAAACCAATTTCGAAAAAAAATTCAAAGGGCTGTAACTTTTGAACTAGTAGCCCAACCTTGGAACTGTTTGAAATTATGGATTCTACAGGCCACATTCTATAAGAAAATTTTTTTTCCGGGTCGATCTGAGACAATTTTTTTTTCGGGGCTCAAAAAAAGGTAGTGTATAACCTTCCTTTTTTACCAAAAATCGACTGCACCAAAATTTCTCGGGAAAACACTTTTTCTTATTAATTTTGGTGCGTAGAATCCAAAACAATTCGTACTTTTTCGATCAGACTTCTAAAAAAAAAGTTATAGACTAGAAACCAATTTCGAAAGAAAATTCAAAGGGCTGTAACTTTTGAACTAGTAGCCCAATCTTGGATCTGTTTGAAATTATGGATTCTACAGGCCACATTCTATAAGAAAATTTTTTTTCCGGG